ACAGCCAAGATGAACCACACAGCCCACAGTTAGCATCACACGCTAAGAGTTAACCGGTTCAGTACCTTTGTCTTTTCACTGTGTGTGTGTGTGTGTGTGTGTGTGTGTGTGTGTTTGCAGAGGAAGGAAGCTGACTGTCCGTCTCTGCCGCGTGCCTGTACCTGCACTCAGGACAGTAAAGGCCCCCCTGGACCCGCCGGACCCCCGGTACAGCCTTCATCACCATCAGCATCATCACCATTATTCAGACATCAGTAACTGACTGTGTGTGTGTGTGTGTGTGTGTGTGTGTGTGAGATAGGGAGGTCCTGGGATCAGAGGTGCTCGAGGAGATCGTGGTGAACCCGGCCCTGTGGTACAGTATTACCCATAATGCACCTCACTGACATCTGACCAAATCATAAGTGTGATTGTGTGTGTGTGTGTGTGTGTGTGTGTGTGTGTGTGTGTGTGCAGGGTCCTGTTGGTCCAGTAGGGGACGCTGGTGTTCCCGGTGCTCAGGGGCCTCCTGGTCCTCCAGGGCCCAGCGGACGCTCCATCAGAGGCCCTCTGGTAATGGACCGCTCAGTCGACTCCCTGACTCAGTCTCAGGGACCCACATTAACACATGGGGGGGGAACCGCAGGGAAATCTGTGTTCTGTGTCCTCAAACCCGTGCTGTGTGTGTATGACGAGGAGAAATGTAGAAATGCAGTGTACATGTAGAGCTGTATGAGAGCTGGTGTACGCGAGCGCAGCAGTAGAGGCTGTACATCACCGCTGAACACTGAACACCTGCAGCGTCCTCCTCACAGCATCAGGGAAGCGGATCTCCTGTCACTGTCATGTGACCTGTAGGAGGATATTCATCTGTGTCTGAGCATCTGGGCTGAATGTTTGACGGCGTCTATATAAACGAGGATGTTATCAACACACGCTATATATATAATGGTGTGTGTGTGTGTGTGGTCTTCAGTGTGATGATGGTGTGTGTGTGTGTGATAGTGTGTGTGTGTGATGG